GGGGGGGGGGGGGTCTAATATAATATCAGGGGCAAAATAGAAAGGGTAGGGGTGAGTTTATATACTATATTTTCAGGGGCAACATAGTATTGGGGGGAGTTATACAAAAATTTCAGGGGCAACATAGTAGGGGTGCGGGACGGTCATAGAATATTTTGATACACCTAGCGGTTTCTATACCTGGAGTTCATAGTGTTTCAACCCGAAAGAAATAGGAAAGGATGGATTAAGGAAAGAAAGACCTAATAAGGAAAGGATCCAGGAATGAACGGATCTAGGAAAGAAAGGATCCGAGAAGGAAAGAATCCAGAAAAGGAAGAATCTAGGAAAGAAAAGATCTAAGACAAGAAAGAGCTAGGAAAGAAAGGATCCAGGAAAGGAAGAATCTAGGAAAAGAAAGATCTAGGAATGAAAGGATCCAGGAAAGGAAGGATCTAGGAAAGAAAGGATCCAGGAAAGGAAGAATCTAGGAAAGAAAAGATCTAAGAAAAGAAAGATATAGGAAGGAAAAAATCTAGGAAAGAAAGGATCTGAGAAAGGAAGAATCCAGAAAAGGAAGAATCTAGGAAAAGAAAGACCTAGGAAGAAAAGGATCCAGGAAACTAGGAAAGGAAGGATCCAGATAAGGAAGAATACAGGAAAGGAATAATCCAAGAAAGGAAAGAGTCAGACTGCAAGAATCCTGGAAAGAAATGATTGAATGAAAGTGATAAATTGATTCCGGAATGTCAATCAATCAATCAAAGAATCAAATCCTAGTGAGACAAGTAAACAAAGAGATAAAGATGTTATATTTATATTATTTCAAGGATAAAAAATATAAATTTACAAAAAAAAAAGTTTTGTAAATAAATCTGAGTGTTTGCATGGTATTCTTCATTAAAGAGATTGCGCTCACTTATTTAAAAATATAAAACTTCTATTTTTGAAAAACTCGAGGATAAGAACTAAATATAACGCTGAAAGGTGTTTCAAAGAGCTAGAATACATGTTCATAATGAACACATTATCTATATATACTTTGCTTGTTTGTTTGTCTGTTTCTTTGTCTGGGGGTGGGGGGTCAAATTGCCCCCCCCAGAAGGAATAGGGTTAAAAGTTGAAATAGTAGATGGGCGGCCTAGTAGATTAAATTTAGCTGATTTTTGGACGCTTTCAGTTTAAAAAAAACTGATAAAAATTTTGACAAATTTCCAATGCGTTTTGAGCCTAATTAACAAAAAACACATTTAATTTCTGGGATAATGAATCCCTGCGTTTTTACAATTCATGCACCATCAGTTTTATAAACTTAATAATTGCCATGTTATAAACTTTTTGGGTTAGGCATTGCTCCTTATTAAAAACTGGACGTAAACCTATTTGTGAAAAAATGAACAGGGTTACCCACTAAGTATGAGACCCTGATGACTGCCAGAAATTTTTAAATGTAACAATAAGAAGGTTGAATTCAAACCTGTGTTCTTGATCAGGTCTTAACAAGGCATATTAAATGATTTGACAGAGGTAAAAACCTACAAAAGAAAAACAAATTACATTGCAATTTTTTCGTAATTTTTTCCCCGCAAAAAAAACTCTAGGATTGCCATTTTAGATATTGATGTCTGAAGAATGAATAATATTTAGGCAATCCTAAAAACAATGAATCAAAATATTCAAATTGCTGAGCTTTAGTGTTTAGCTTTTCATCGGCTTGGGATCGGCAGATATATAGTATACACTATACAGAACAATCTAAGATAAAATCTTTGATGCACAGTGGTTGGAATACCTGAACCCTAAGTTTCCAGAAGAAATTCTGTGCATATATTTTTTTCAGGATGTATAATAGGAATCAAAAAGTCTCTTTGCTTCATAAAACAAAAACTTGAGGAAAATGTTCACACAAAGTTTGATAATTCTTGACCTCAGTAACAATTTTAAGTTTAAGATATTTTTCGCTTGAATAGGAGAATTGCCAGTATATTGAAAAAGGTTAACAATTCTGTTAAAGTCTTAATTATGTTCACTTTTTTATAATTATATCTTGGCTTCCCCCTTTCCTTGTTAAATGTGGAGTTTTCTTCTTCTTCTTTCAGAACTAAATCATTTCCTTATCGGGATTATCATTGTTTTCCGTTAAAGTTTTTCATATTTCGGGATTATCATTGTTTTCCGTTAAAGTTTTTCATATTTGGGGATTATCATTGTTTTCCGTTAAAGTTTTTCATATTTCGGGATTATCATTGTTTTCCGTTTCTGTGAAAGTTATTCATATTTCGGGATTATCATTGTTTTTCCGTTTATGTTAATGTTATTCATATTTCGGGATTATCATTGTTTTTACGTTTATTTTAAAGTTATTCATATTTCGGGATTATCATTGTTTTTACGTTTATTTTAAAGTTATTCATATTTCGGGATTAACCATGTTTTTCCGTTTATGTTAAAGTTATGCATATTTCTGGATTATCATTGCTTTTACGTTTATTTTAAAGTTATTCATGTTTGGGGATTATCATTGTTTTTCCGGATTTGTTAAAGTTATTCATATTTTGGGTTCAGGGATCATTATTGTTTTTTCGTTTTTAATAAATTGTACATTCGTCGTCGTAATATCAATACAATGAAGACGACTTTCTATTTTGATTTCTACCAAGCTTTCAAAAATAATATTTGTCAACTAACAGCTTATCTTTGTTTAATAATTATAATTTCAAAAATGGTTGTACGAAATCAAAGTATTATTAACGATCACTGTTTGATTTTTTGTCATTTATGTCATTATCATTAATATTATCATTACTATTTTTATTATTTCTTACTATTTATCATTATATTATAATTTTTTAATTTTTTTTACTATTGGTAATGTTAAATATCCTAGTTATTATCATACCTGTAAACACTGTAGAAACCTTTCTTCTGTTAACAGGCTTTTGTTCTGAAAAATGTTATATTTTTGCAGCAAAATCTTGTTACGGTGAGACCTATAAAACTGGAATATGGAGACTCGACTGTTGGACTAAGATTATTATTTTTAATAGTCCAATAAACATGAAACACAGTTATTGTTCAATTTACATAGAATTCACAAAGGGTTGCTTAAAAGGTCGTCGTTCTATTCCACCCAGTAATATGGGTCCACTGTAAATGCTACGGTTACTGGTTAAAGTCATAGATAAAGATAGATTGCGCATAAGACGACATTTTTCATCTTGAAAGATATAAATGTACAGAGATGTTTTATAGATATTCCTATTATATAGATTAACTAGGTCGGTTGTGAACATTGGCTGTTCTTATGTCATTGAGTACTTGTGGTGTACATGAGTTCTGTAAAAAGAAATTTAAGTTAGTTTAGTCCTTCTCATGTCCTTCTTCAATTCTCGTCAATATGATATATCGCTTAGTGAAATAATTTGATATTCTCAAAATAATATTCACTCTTGAGTGGTTTAATAATTATGAAATCCATTAAAACAACAAACCACCCCGCTTATCATTGAAGTACATTTTGACCCCTAGAAGTATGAGTTCGCTGACTGTACAATTCTTAGTGATTTTGCGTACATAAGCTATCTTTATCTATTTATCTATGGTTAATTTCATAAACTGCAACTATGTCTCATGTTTACTGTGTACAGTGTACATACCTAAATATTCAGCTGGAATCTCGTCGTACAGCTGATGAAGATCGGAGGCGGGCAAAGAGGCCTGGCTGTGGTAGGCGTGGCCCTGGCTCTGACAATTGGTTGACGAGATAGACCCTGGGGATTGATTGATTGATTGACAACGGTAGAACTGGTTTGGAGTGGAGTCATTAGGGTTGAAGTTAACTATAGTAACCTTAACATAAGAGTGAAAATTTTGGGCACTTTTTTGAAAACAATGTTCAAAGCCACCTTACACCAGTACTAATGTTTTTTTGATACAGTTTAAAAATGCCTGTCTGAAAACACTGAGTTCAGAAACGATAAAATTGTAAAAATCCCTTAAAAGTAGATTTAGTTATCAGCAAAACCGTTTTTTAAATATATTTGTACGAGTATTAAAACTAGTTTTTGTATACTTGAACCTTCTGAAATATGGAAATATACGGACAAATGGATGCGTGGCATTTAGCGGTTCAAACCAAACGCAGCTTTTGATACCCCTATCAACAAGATTTGAAATAATCAAAAAAATAGAACTTTTCTAATTAAAAATCGTTAATTGCTTCATTAGTTTTGATTTCTTCAATTATTTTCTTTTATAAATGTTGCTTCTATTTTGCTCCTTTGCTGGGGCAAAAAAAACATTTAATATTTTCAACGAAATAGTTTAACTGAAAAATGAATAATCTAAACCTGGGATTATACCT